AGATTGCATTAATTTTAGTAGTTTTGGCCCCCCCCTCAGGAGGGGGGCAGGGATCATGAAATTCACAATTTTTGTTCCCCTTTACCCATAGATGCCAAATTTGGTTGAAATTGGTTCAGTGGTTGCAGAGAAGAAGTTGAAAATGTTCAAATGTTAACACACGACGCACGACGGACGACGCACGACGACGGACGAAAACGGATAGCAATAGGTCACCTGAGTTTACTCAGGTGACCTGAGTTTACTCAGGTGACCTAATAAAAAGGCAACAACATGTTGCTGTGCAGTTTGTTTTTAACTTTTCAACCAAAAAAGTTTTTTTTTCGGTTGTCAGAGAGTAACTTAAAAGGTTTCCAACCAACCATGAGGGTGACGTTGGCGCGTAACAACGTCACATCAAGATAGGGCTTTTCATCATACTACCTAGGGGTGGGACGATATACCGATACACCGATACATATCGATATTTTCCTCCAAGATACGGCTTACGATACAAGCATTCAAATATCGGTACGAAACATTACACGAACGACCTATCCAAAAATTGAAAATGAAAGTACCTGTCCTTGAAGGACAAACACCACCAAATGTTTTCCCATAGACTTCCATACAAACTTTAGCCCCTCTCACTGATACATGTATTGAATTTCTGGCAAATGACCTTTTTGTCGTGAAAGTTCGAGATATTGGAAAACAAAAAATGCCAGAAAAAATATACCGTGCCGTTGCACTTTTACTTTCAATTTCCATTTGTTTACAACTAGGTGCGTTTGACACCAAATGAAAATCTCTAACCAAAGTGCATTCCTCCCTTCAAATTTTTACCTGTAACTCATATATACCTCAAAGAAACCCAAGTCTTGATATGAGATTTTTATCAACTTTATTTCACTTGTCAAATACATAACAAGTCTTTTCTCTTATTGACCAATACGCGTCTGCGCCCATGTATTTGTTTATGTAGGGGTTTTTCCTATAGAGTAAAAGAAACATTTATAAAAAGTGGTCAATTTAGTAAATTTAGAACACATATCCATTGCTTATCTCACCTCTTGAATATTGGGACTGACAGTCTTAGCTTAAGTACACCATTGGCTGTTACATTTCACACCCCAGTCAATCAGACCAACATCTGTGAAACAGAAAAGATGTCTATAAATTGAAGCATTTTTCTATTTTTCTTTCAAACTTTTCAAATAAAATGATTAATCTAGCATATGTTTTGCTTGTTTTTCTTATTATCTCTAATAATTTCTCAAGGTAGATCATGTTAATCATTCAGGGTAGCAGGTACCCGTTATTAATGAAAAATGAAGAAAATCAGCAGGTTTTTGTAAGAAAAAACTGGGTTATGGAAAGAGTGAAAACTAATGTAGATAAAATAATCAATGGAAAGAAAGAGAATTATATCTAGTTCAAATGTACATAAGATTAAAACAAATTCTATCAGCAGTGGGTTGATGGCATCAGAGAATCAAATACATCCCCACTGAAAATTTTGTAATTTTGAAGGGGGGTGACCTACATTTTAGCCAATTTTCATGAACATTTCATGTAATTGATGTTAAATATGTATATTCTCATAAAAGGCAAATATATTTATTTGCATATCATTTCTTATTATTGACATAATTAATAAATTGATTAAATGCCAAGGGCAGATAAATCATATTGTCTGACTGAATACAGTGCTCAATTGTACGCAAAATGTTTAAATAACTGCAGTTCTGAGGAAATTTATTTTCTGATAATCTATAAAAAGTTCTAAATAACTTAAATATTAAGAGATTAACTAGATTTTCTAAGAAAATCATACCTTGGAACTCTTAATGAAAGCAGAGGGATCATCCCGAGGGTGTCCATGTGTTGTTCATTGTAAGAGGGTAGGGTTCATTAATCTCTTCCTTCTTGATAATGCATTGCTGAAATACATTTTATTTTATTAAAACATACTGATAAATGCATCTAGTAGCTTACATAATGATTTTTTATTATTTACACCATTTTTTGAATTTTTTTTAAGCATTTGTGATGTAATTCCTTTAAAATAATCATGTTAAAATAGAATTTACTCAGATAATTATTTTAAAAAATAAAAGAAATTGAAAAAAAAATAACTGCAAAAAAAATGCTCTTTTTATTCAAATAAACCACATTTAAACAAAATTCCTTCATTTTTCAGCATGATTAGAAAAATTCCCCCCCCCTTTTCAGCAGAATATCAAATCATATGGCAAGGAGGAACAAAACCCCTTTTTCATATTTTTTCAGTTATAATTTTGCTTTTTATTGCTTTTTCAATGTATTTTCTGCAAAAATATATTGTACTGTAATTTCAATGAAATTTCCTACAAGTAATCCCTAAGTTTCACCAAAAGTATAACTTTTTTTTCAAGCCAGCACTGATTACATGCTAAAACGGGCTTTTCTCGGATTATGCCCCTTATGTAAAAAAAAGTAACCTAATTATTTAAACAGCAGTCAAATTTTGTTATAAATTTTCAATCAACTCTATTAACACAAATTTGAAAGAGGATTACTAATCTGTTCCAGTGTCTACACAAAAAAAACACATGGATTTAAATGTTTTCTCAAACTGCAGGGGGTTTCTATGTTTTGTGTATTGATGATGCCCATAAATATTGATTTTTTATTTACAATATTCACAGTAAATTTGGTATAAATATTTTTTTAAAATTATTTACATGAACATTTATTGAAAATAAGTGGGGCAAAAATTTTGGCATTTTTTCACTATGTGCAGTCCCCATTGTGAGCCTCAATTTACCCAAACCCTCTAATTTTTAAACAAATACTCAAAACTAACTAAAATATAATCCCAATGCCAAAAAAATAAACTGATTGATTTTTTGGCTGTAATCATTTTTTATCCATGAAATATCCTTTCTATAGGACAAACACCACCAAATGTTTTCCCATAATTCCATACAAACTTTAGCCCCTCTCACTGATACATGTATTAATTTCTGGCAAATGACCTTTTTGTCGTGAAATTTAGATATTGGAAAAAAAAAATGCCAAAAAAAATCCCCCCATTTTACTTTCAATTTCCATTTGACAACTAGGTGGTTTGACACCAAAAAAAAATCTCTAACCAAATGCATTCCCCCCTTCAAATTTTTACCTGTAACTCTATATACCTCAAAGAAACCCAAGTCTTTAAAAGGGTTTTTTTCAACTTTTTTCACTTGTCAAATACTAAAAAGTCTTTTCTCTTATTGACCAATCACGCGCCAGCTAGCATTTTCCTCCGCACAACTTTGGGGTCCAAAATGTCTGCGCCCATGTATTTGTTTATGTAGGGGTTTTTCCTAAAAGGGTGCCCGTACCAACGAAGAGATGGTGTTATATTAAAAAACACTTTAGAATAATAAGCCTTGATTAGGGGGGAATAGTTTTACTTTTAAGCAGCCTTGGAAAATTACAAAAAAGTTCACGTGCAAAGCGTGCTAAAACAGAAAAGTAACGTTTCAAGAACATCTATTTAAATTGTTAGAATCTAACTTGGCTACAGGGTTTTAGCAATTAATAATAATGTAAAAATGATTTTTTAAAAATAATTTTTAGTCAGTGTTGTTATAAAATACACAACTATTTTACACAACTTGTTTAAAAGAAATTTGGTAATATGCACAGTTGTCCTGTACTATTGTTTTTGTAAATATTAGTCAATGAATTGATAACTTCAAGTAGTAATTTCATAGCACACATGATTTGATATAGAATAATTTTTTGAGTTAAAGTAAGAAAAAAAATAAAAAAAATATAATTCTTTTGAATAGTTTTATAATTTATATTTTAGTCCAGTCAATTTGTCATCAACCCCAAACAAATTGCAACAGAATTTTTTTTCATACTAAAATAAATGGGTTTTAATGAACATATAAAAACTCTAGAAAAATTTTATGAAGGCAAAGTTTTTTAAACCCCTTAAAAAAATTTTTTTAACTTTGATAAATATAATTGCGTAAAAGTGCTACCATACACACCAAGGGAACAATTTTGTCAAAATAAAAAAAAATTTATGTAAAAAGATGCATAAACATTTTTTATCAGCTTAGGTTTGTATCTGTTCAATATAGGTATATGTTTACATATGTAATATCATAAATTATTATTTATGTTGTCTACCATATACATGACAGATTTAATTTGTGTAAATTTTAAATTCCATTAAAATATGGGAATTTTCAAATATCATTTTTACATATTACTAATTAAACTGCTCAGCTTTATAACCCCACATATAATAATCTTTCCATTTAAACAATGTTGTTTATTACTTTATTTATTTTTTTTTCATTGGAAACATCTGGGGGAAATATTATGGAAACCCGTTATTGTTTTTTAATTAAAACTATGTAACTAAAATTTATTGGAATAAATATTATTTATAGACAATGATGACCTTAATAAATATTTGTTACTATTCTTGTATTAAGATGTTTTCAGTATTATTATATTATTTTAACATATTTTTTCAAAATATAAATTTTTTGTATTTTTAATATTTTTTTTAACTAATGCGTGTCAAAAAAAGTAACTATCATTTTTTGTTATTTGCAAATGTTTTTTTAACATTTGTTCCTTAATTAAAAAAAATAAAAACTATTTATATATATTCTTTTCTTATATTTATTTATTTTTTTTTTTCAAAGTTCAGTTAGTTTTTTAATTTATTATTCATAAAGAAAGGTGTATTTTGACCCCCCAAATTTAAAGTAGAATATTTTTTTTAATGAAAATTTTAATTTTAAATTTTTTAATTTTTTTTCTCTACTTAACCAGAAAAGCTTATGCGATGAAAAAGGGCCGGGGTCCGTCCGTTTTTTTTTTCCTCTAAAACAATTTTTCAAAACACTACTCCTCCTACAATTTTGTTTTATTTCAGTATAACTTGGCACACAAGTAGACTACACTAAATCAAGAATAGTGATTGGTTTTTGATTTCGATGAATGGTGTTGAAGTTACTGAAAATAGAATTTTCTTGAAATTCCTTAAAAACGCTATCCTTCTACAGTTTTGGGCTATTTCAATATAACTTGGCAGACAAGAGACTACACTAAGATACATAGAATATGCATCGGTTTTTGATTTCGATAAACTGTGTTGCCATGGTTACTAAAAAAGAAATTTTTTAAAGTTCCTTAAAACGCTATTCCTTTTACAGTTTTTGGATTTTAGTATAACTTGGCACAAAGTAGACTACACTAAGATACATAGAATAGTGCATCTTTTTTTTGATTTAATGACGGGGTTGCCATGGTTACTAAAAATAGAATTTTCTGTGAAATTCCTTTAAAACGCTACTCCTTCTACAGTTTTTGGGCTGATTTCGATATAACTTGGCAGACAAGTAGACTACACTAAGATAATAGAATAGTCATCGGTTTTTGATTTCATAACGGTATTGTATGGTTACTAAAAAAAATTTTTGTGGGAAATTTCCTTTAAAAAAGCTATCCTTTTACAGTTTTTGTCGTTTCAAAATAAATTGGCCCAAAATGCTACACAAAGATAATAAAAAATGCAATGGTTTTTTATAAAAAAAAACCAGTA